TCGCGGAAAATAACGGATACAGAAAGGGCCTAGTAAACAAGATAAGAAGAGAAACAAAAACGAAGAAATCAAATAAGAAGGAAAATAATGAAAAGGCTTGGGCAATCTTGACTTATACGGGCAAAACGTCATATAAATTGGCTAAGGTATTCCAAAAGTATAACATTAATACAGCATTTAGAACGAAGGACAATGAGGGGAGGATACTACGAAATAGTGCAAACGAGGAAGACCCACTAGACAAGCAAGGTGTATATAAGTTGACTTGCGAATGTCAACATAGTTACATAGGACAAACAGGGCGCAAGATAAAAACAAGATATCGTGAACATATAAGGGACTACAACAAAAAAATGCTAAAACCTTCTACTACCCCGGAATCGAACTTCGCAAACCATATGGCAGAAAACCATTGTACGCCAATGAAAATACGAAAGACAGCCAAAGTTCTCCATGTACAGCACAAAGGACAACGCCTAAACGTATTAGAGATTATGGAGATATACAAACAAAAGACGTTCGTCGGAAAAATAATAAATGAGCAAATAAACACCGCATCTGATATATTATTCGAACCACTCAGGCTACTATACGCAAAACAAAACAGAAACCCTGCAACTACCATAAACAATGAAATGCAGGTCCAAACTATAGAAACAAAGAGACAGAAAATAACTGATTTTTACCTACCTGCGAATCCATGCAACAATTAATCAAAAAAGAGGTGAACAGCTAATTTGTACCTGAGGATGTACACACAGAACTGAAACTACTGGTTGAACGAAAGAATATAATCCGCTGAGACATACTTAACTATGAACCAACGACGACTTAACATGGCTATAAATAGTGACGGACAAACAGAAACTATTCAGAACGAAAAATGACACTGAAGATGGCACAACGCCGAAACCGGGTTGTCTCCAAACCAAATTTGACAAGGGATGACGGAAAATCGTTCCACATTACATCACACTCCTACCCTGTCGGAAACACCAACAACGAAAATGAGAATATTAATGCCAGTCAGGCTTATCACTCAAGGACGATTACGCTTTTGGCCACATACCAAAGAAGACAATTGAAAATACACAACACCAACGCAAACATCTGGTTCAATAAACAATGTTTAACACTAAATGTTACGCCGAAATTCGCAAGAATTAATCTAAAATCGAGCACAGAGCAAAGGCGAAAAATTTTGAAAAGAGCATAAAGCAGCTTCCTTCGACATGAAATTAAGAACCTGTGTGTCAAAAAAGAACGCACAAATGAGGAGCTACTTTCCATTCATTTAGAACTAGGGACAAAAATACAATAAATTAAACAAAAAACTCGATGACCTCAATAGAAAGCAAAACATCACAAAGAACATACAACACAGCGAAATGCCTTTCCATTCCAGATTCGTAAATTTGACTGAGGTTCCCATTAGCAAACAAGAGACAGAAATATTGGAAAAAGGTCTGAAACAAAACATAGAAAATTCTGATAAAAATAAAGACGTAGAGCACACTATTGTAGGCGCGGAAATGGCCATATCATTACTACCAAGCGAGGATCAAGATCATGCAAGACACATATGTAGACGTATAATTGAGAAAAGCATAAAATCCATGGAGAAAAAACTAAGCGACGAAAATAAAACTGCCAAAGGGCTAAAGAAAAAACTCAACACGAATAAAGTAATCACAACAAAAGCAGACAAAGGGAACACAACGGTAATAATGTACGAAAAAGAATATAAAAAAAGACAGAGCAACTAATCAAAGAGACAAATTGTCGGATGATGAGAAAGGACCCAACCGATGACTACCAAGGGGCAGTAATAGCGGAGACAGACAGGCTGAGTTAAGTTGAATTAAGTGGCACAAATGCAGATACGATTTTTACCCCTGACAGACAGCACCATTGTGCATAACAAATTTTCTTCTTCTACCTGCGCATTTAGTTATCAGCTGATTTGACAAAAACTTTGAGCTCAAAATGGAAAGGAGAGAAAAAATACGATTAGCAGCTATTTTGTTTGCAAAAAACAATTACTTATTTAAAAAAAAAACTTAACATTCTTCTCTTAAAATTATTCAACAATATGAAAATAATTAATTCATTGGCAAGCATAGACCTTGCCACGATGTTTGAAGCTGGGATTGTTACACTTCCTGATATAAGAGAAAGGCAGCTGTGGAAATTGGTAAGCATATCTTTTATTTCCATTAGTACAATAAATATGCGATATTCTTTAAAGGATCGCAGCGGCACATTTTGGGAGCGTGATGTTCCTTTAATGGACGAAAATCGTTTCAAAGAAAATTTTCGACTCAATAGAAATGCTTTTCGGAGAATTTGTGAAAAAGTTCGAGGCATCGAAAAGGCGAACACTCATATGAGGCA